CAGGGTTTCCGAGGGTGTAAATCTTTACGGGAGTAGAAAGCCTCATCTTTCTCCCGCGGAGCGGCTGGTAGTTTCGAACCGCTGACCTTAAGGTTCGCAGACCGATTCGTAACCACTACGAGGGACACTAATTTAGACTTCTCCCAGGGCCTGGCATTCTCCTTTGGCCTAAAATGGCTTGTCCTGTAAAGCTATGCCTAGGGCACTAGGTAAACCAGTCAGAGCTGTATAGTATCTCACAAGGAAGTAACAATGCAGAATTTTTATGGGTGTTCTTCCTTAAAGGCTTGTTGTTATTGTTAAGTGCTGTGGAGTCAGTTCCAACGCACAGTGACCCTGTATAGTGTTGCCGAAGAGCGGCTGGTCAATTTGAACAGCCAATCTTGCAGTTCAAATCAACCTTGCAATCCATTGCATTATCCCACCACACCACACTAGAACTCTAAAGAAAAGCCCCATGAAATACAGAACTTTTATGGCAAGTCCTAGGATTTGGCTGATCAGCTATGTACCCTGGGCATGTCCTGGATGTCTTTACAGTTGCTCAAGCAAGGTGGGGGGCAGGCTTCAACATTCTCAGGATTTCGTTTACAAGATTTCAGTCAATAAGTGGTCCATGTTTAAACCTGATTTCTTTTTTTCCCCGTGTCAGGGTCGTTCTGACTCATAACGACCCTGTGTATGGTTTCCGAAGAGCAGAGCAGATGGTGGATTTGAACTGCTGACCTTGTGGTTAGTAGTCCAGTTCTTATCCTGGTGTGGCACTGTGGAATAATGCACTGGACCACAAAGTCAGTTTGAACCACAGGTTGGTAGTTCAAATTCACCATCTGTTCCTCAGAAACCTATACGAAGTTGCTGTGAGTTGAACTGACTCAAAGCCACTTACCAACAAGTGCCAACTCACAGCAACGCTGTAAGAGTTTCAAAAGAGTAGAGTGGCTGCTCAGTTTGAACCAGTAACCTTTTGATTAGCTGTCCAGTGTTTATCCTACAGTGCCTTAGTAGGACTCCAGTTAGATAAGGTACATATTTACAATTTGGTATAGTATGTTATGTTGAGTGTTTCATTTATAATATATACTGAGTGCAGAGCACTATAATAGATACTTTATAATTTAATCATTACATTGACTGAGACAAGTTAAATATTTTTGTCACCATTTTTAGGACATGAAAAAGACTAAGATTAAAGTAATTTCTGATCCAGAACCTATGCCCGTCTGTCTCCAAGGTGAATAATATTGACTATGTTGTGCATTTGACAACTAACTAGAAGGTTGAAGTTTGGAACCCACACAGCAGCACTTTGGTAAGATTTAAAAAAAAACAAAAAAACTTTGCCATGAGTCAGTTTCAACTCATGGTGACCCCATGTCTCTGGGTGGCACAAGTAGTTTATTCTACTAACCTATAGACAGGTAATTTGAACCCACTCAGCAGTGCTGTGGAAGAAAGGCCTGGTGATACGCTTCTGTCAGTCTCACTGCCATAGCCTAGATTCTGACTCATAGTGACCCTGTTGTTATTAAGCACTGTCATGTCCTTTCCAACTCATAGCGACCTCCTAGGGTTTCCAAGGAGTGACTGGTGAGATTGAACTGCCGGCCTTGTAGTTCAAACCGACCTGTGGTCCCTATTTTGTTGTCACTAAGTGCCATCAAGTCGGTTCCGACCCATAGCAACCTTGTATAGGGTTTCCAAGGAGACACTGGTGACCTTGAACCGAGGACAGAGTAAAATTTCTCCTTAGAGTTTCGGAGACTGTAAATCTCCAGAAGAGCAGACTGTTTCATCTTTCTGCTGAGAATCAGCTGGTGTGTTCTAACCACAGGCCTTGTGGTTATCAGCATCTCCTTGAGAGCTAGATGAGTTTTTTTGCCCCCATCAATCTTTACAGGGGCGCTGACTTGGAACTGGCTCAGTGGCACACAGCAGCAGTAGCAAGGAGTAAGGATTAAAATGGAACTGAAGATTAAGGATGCCCCCACCTCACTAGAGTGTGTGACTCAAGACAAGTTACCACCCTTAGTTTTACTTGGGGCCATGGTCTGCATCCAATACATGAAAATGTTTCTTTAAAGTCTTCTCTTTTGCCCTGGACCTTGCATCTGGTTCATCACGTCCGACCCCCAGTTTGTGAGACTTTCAGCCCATCACCTGACTTGATTTACCAACTCATACAACCTTGTGCACCAGTAACCTGTTATCTGACCTGCTGATTTGGGTTCCTCAGTTTCTGAGACTACGTGGATGAGAAGAATCCTGCAGACTGATCTAGGACTTGCCCGGCTCCGCAATTGCACGAGCCATTCCCTTAGACATAGTAAAGTGAAACATTGTAGGGTGTTGCAGAACCCTGTAACATGAGGGAGGGGAGAAGTAATGATTGATATCAAGGATTATGAAATGATGCAACATGTTGAAAAAGTCAGACATTTGGGGTATCTTTAACCTCCGCCTCATAGGGGCCAGAACTTGTACTACTCTTTCTAAAAGAAAGAATTCATGCACCAAGCTTATTACTACCTCTGGACTTTTTTTTTTTTTTTTTTTTTTAGCAATCCTCCCTTTTAAAGGCAATTTTTTAGCAATCATTTTTTAGCAGTCCTCCCTTTCCCTGGAATATAAGATCTGTACTTCTAGCTTAGATCTGGACTCCTGTGGACAAAGGGCTATAATCACCACAGCTGTGATGCTCCACATTTTTTGCCACTCCACATTAAATGAATCACCTGTGTGCTCACCGCCAAGATTCTACCTTTAACATTTTACTATACCTGCTTTAGAGTCCTGGTGTGGTGCTGTAGGATAATGCACTGGACCATAAGGTTGGCAGTTCAACCCTCACCAGCCACTCCTTGGAAACCATATGCAGGGTCGCTATGAGTTAAAACCATCTTGATGGCACATAACAACAATGTACTTTATCATATACCTTATCTAACTATCCATCCATCTTTTTTACTGTTAGATACATTTCAAAGTAAACTGCTTGCAGAGTTTTGAATATTACCTAACCTAATATTTTGCTTTTGTGTTTTATCTACTGAATTGGACTTCTGATATTGATACTATTTTGAAATCAATCCTTATCCAATTTGCCTCACACTATTTCTCAGGCCCTCTAAGGAGATCAGCGCCTCTACCTTTTTCCCATTAGCTCTTACTATGGTTTAGCACGCCTTTTCATAAAGCCTGTCAGAGTTAGGATGCTTACTTATGTTTTGTTCCACAGTAGAAACATTCAGAATATAGTTAACAAACTATCTTTAAAAACCTCTTCTTTTAAATGTTTCTTAAAAAGCTGCTGTTGCAATTTTTTTTTCAGTTCCCAATGAAATATATTTAGGT